TGTTCAAGTGGGCTTCGCCCTTATGAACATGTTCTTCGAGCCAGTGTACGGCGACCTGGTGCACCACGATGTGGCCAATGTGATGCGCCAACGTTTGCACATGCCCAACGTCTTGAAGCCCCTTGTCGAAGCGCTCAACCTCACGCAGAAGCAAGTCGCCTTCCAGCCGCTCGAGGATCGGTCACACGCCATCGAGACACTGTTTCCCGCACTCACCAGCGAGCAGCTCTTTGACATCTCCTTGGGCAAGTACCAGCAGAAGAATGCCGTGAGCTACGTGGCTGAGCACCAGGCTTCTCACGGCGGCACCTTCTTCGTGACCATGTACGATCCGCCCCGACCATGTACGATCAGCGAAGACGAGCACCGACGATAGACTACGCCAGATACGGGATAGAAGTGGACAACCCGGTACTCATAAAGGGCAAGATGCAGTCTCGTTACAGGAGTGGCTCGCTCACGGTGGCCTAAAATTCCTGTTCCTACGATTCTCACCAATTCCCGAAATCCTCGTTCGGCGGTGAATATCACATCACGCGAGTCCATTTTTATTATGGCCATTTTTTGAACCACGGTGTGAATTGTACAATAGACGCAATTTGTGCTCGTAAAACTTTTGTATTTAGAACGCATTAAAATTTGGACGAGGTGCATCAAAACTCATGAAGCAAGGGACGACCATAGCATATAAATGATCGATCACCTCGGCCGCTCGAATCTCTCCCGCCGATCTGAATGGAAACTCGAAAGTCTTCACCGCGAGAAACTGTCCAAGTCACCCAGAGGAACCGAAGGTGGCCTGTCGACTCGACCTCGGAACGACTGCTCCAGACGGAAGCCCATCGATCCAAAAATCGGCAAAAAAGAGGAACCCGTGTCGACACGGGTTTCCACCGCATTCGGCATTCATGAGATCCGCGAAAAGCAAAAACCACAACGCGGCCTGATCTCGTCTTTCAGAATTTGCGGGGAGCTATTTACGTCGTACATAAACCGGTCGATTTGGATTGCTCTGCGGTGACTTCGCCGACTTTCCGCCCCCCTTTGGGTCACAGCGGGTCATTCGGACCGTTCCTCTTTTTTTTTTGCTTGCGAGTAAAAATTGAGGCTGTTTGGTGAGTTCGGAACAGTCAAGCCAAGAAGAAATCGCGATGCTACCTTCCCTTGGTTCCTGGCTTTTCTTACAATATGCATCATGTCGCTTTATCAAAAATGTGATGTAAAAAAAAGGTTTCGTGTTGTGCAGTTAATGTCAACAATTATATGAAATGAGTGATATTGTGTGCTTCTGATAGGCAATATTATGAGAGATCAGACATGAATCAAATTGGAACCTACTTATTTCAGGAAATGAGTTCCATGGAAATCGATTTTGCTTCTTTTCCAAGTTTTCCAAGTTTTCTATATACAGTATATAGTATCAATATATACGAGGGTAAGTCAAAAAGTATCCGCAAAGTGGTCACATATATATTTTGCGATTGGCCCAACTGCTGAATTCGCGCGCCACCGTAAGCACGGAACCTCCCTATATTGTAGTGACATATTTGGCCTTAACCGTTCAGATGTCTTTCACCACTAGTGGGGTCGACATGACCGCTCCGCTTACCAAATGCACCAAAGAAGAGCAGCGTGCAGTGATTCGATTTTTGTGGGCTGAAGGTGTAAGAGGTGCGGAAATTCATCGAAGACTATCAGCACAGTACGGTGACAGTGTTTTGCAGCAGCGAAGCGTGTACGAATGGATTGACATGTTCAAAAATGGCCGAACAGGTGTTACTGACGAAGAACGATCAGGGCGCCCATCCACATCGACTACCGAAGGGAACATTGAAGATGTCCGCGCGCTGATTCTCGACAACAGGAGGGTGACTGTCGATGAAGTGGCAAACCAACTGCAGATCAGTCACGGTTCTGCCCATGAAATCATCCACCACAGACTTCGCTTCGGTAAAGTTTGTGCAAGGTGGGTTCCCAAACAACTCACGGAACAGCACAGACGTAACCGTTTGGACATCTGCAACCACCTTTTGAACCGGTATCACGAGGAAGGTGACGCCTTTTGAGTCGCATTGTCACCGGTGATGAAACGTGGATCCACCACCATGAGCCTGAGAGCAAACGTCAGAGTATGGAATGGAAACACCCGACGTCCCCTGTCAAAAAAAGTTCAAATCTCAACATACAGTTGGAAAAGTTATGCTCACGGTTTTCTGGGATTCGCAGGGACCAATCCTTGAGCATTATCAGGAAAGAGGTGTGACGATAAACGGTGCACGTTACAGTGAGATGCTGCGTGACAAGCAGAAGCCGGCGATTCGGAGATTCGGAGTAAAAGCCGAAGACTACTGTCACGAGGTGTTGTGTTGTTGCATGACGATGCCGGTCCCCATACTGCTGCCCACACTGTTGAAACTCTCCAGCAGCTACGCTTTGAAATCTTAGAACATCCACCATACAGCCCTGACCTTGCTCCATCGGATTATCATCTGTTTGGACCCCTCAAAGATGCCTTAAGAGGCCGCTTTGCCAGCGACCATGAGTTGAAGGAGGCGGTGCATACGTGGCTTGTCGCCCGCCCGAAAACATTTTTTTCTGAAGCATACGAAAGCTTGTGCGACGCTGGACCAAGTGTGTTAAAAAGCAGGGGAACTATGTTGAGAAATTATACACTTGTGAGTTCTGTATTGCTGGTGGGTTAATATTAATAAATACATTGCGGATACTTTTTGACTTACCCTCTTATATTCCGAATATAGTATAGAAAAGTATAAGAATCGTTCTTGGTGAAAATCACGATTACTCCGGACGCTACGATTCTCACTGGCCCCTTCGATGTGATTTTGCTTCTCGGTCGTAAAAATGAATTCCATTCGTATACACCGAATGGAAAACGATCGATTTTCGGGAAAAATCCCCACGGCTTCCCGGAGTCCTCGTTCGCAATTTTAAGACTCGGCTCGCGAACGGAGTCGAGTGGCCTCACACCTTCGATACTTGTGCCCGAACTTGGGAAAAGAGATGAAGTTCTTGAGAAGCACGGTGTAGTCCTGCACGTCTTCGCGCAGCACCTGCGCCCTGCAAAAAGCCGACGGAACAGAGTGAGAACCCGCGAACGACGATCGCAAACCCCGGCGAAGAAGCGGAGAGAGCGGACCCGGCGTCGTCGTTCTCGACGGGGCACCAGGCGTGGATCTCGCACGTGTGGTTCCCGCCCGACCGGTCGCTGGGGACGCAGCGCCCCGTCGTCACCCCGTTCCCGAGGGGCAGCGTCTCTCCGGCGTGGCAGGTCCCGTTTACGTCTACGTCGCAGATGGCGCCGGGGACTGCCGTGTCCTGCGACGGAGAAAGTTGCCGTTGCGTCGATTCTTTCGGGTTTACGAAAGAGAACTGCGAAAGCGAACGACGGTTTCGAAGCGACCGTTCGCAGATTCCTTTAACCCTTATCCGGGCAAGGTATTTTTGTGACACAAACGGGCAAGGCCAAACATTTTTAGAATTCTTTTCCTTAAAAGCAAATCCAAACTTTAAAAGTTCGTTTCCGAATCTATGGATGACTGTCTATGAAACCCATATCAAATTTGAAGAATATTTTGAAAAATTTGCAGAGAGTAATGAAATGAAATATACCCTGGGGAGTCCAATGGACCCCCCTTGCCCGGATAAGGGTTAAGACGGCGTCGTTACTCACAAATGTCGTTCCACGTTCCCAAGTACAAGTAGAATATTTTCGGTCTTTTAGCTAAAATATTGGAATCCCCGATTCGAATGTTCCTCATGTGGAATGTGGAAATAAACGAAGTCAGATTTCTAGAAGAAAGTAAATAGTTACCGGCAGAGAAATATAGTCATGCTTCCTTCACCCGTTCCGATATAGTGACTGGGCAATAATAAATTTCATTCAAATTTATGTCGCTGGGAAAGACGTATAATTAGGAACCACGCCTTGCTTATTGACCTGGTTCCACACCACGCTTTCCAAAAAGCGCACACGAAAAGAGAATCAGAGTACCAACCCTGGTACAGATCTGGCATTCCACTGGCCCCTGTACCACTGGATTTATTATATTCACCGAATCCTAACCATCCGACCGTGAAATAAATAATAGCTGTCATTGGTTCGGCGTAGGCCTATATGAAAAGGTCTGGAAAACTAAATATGTTCTCGATGGTCCGTGCGTCCGCGTCGCGTGGAGGTGGGAGGAGAGTATGTGTAGGATGCCAGATACGGCATTTCACATGTACGCATAACAACCCTGTATACGTGGCCGAGGACAGCCGCTCTCCTCCTTTGTCTACCGTGGATCCGCCAACCGCCAGGGTTGGAAGGGAAGTGGATGTTTTCGTTGAAGACTGGCACCCCGACCGAGGCGTAAAGCTGCACATGCGCAGTGGGTCGTGTTGTCCCGTCGCTACGGATACTGCGGACAGGCGGAATGACATTTTTTTTAAGTGACAGCCGGGCCGTAATATCTGGCATTTCCCCATAGTGCATATGGAAGTGCCAGATAACCGTGTTTGTTCCCCAGAACTAGGTGACTCGTGACAACCCACGACCGAGGTCGACGAGGGGGCCATAATGATATCACTTTCCGACCATGCGCGCTCCTCTGGGTCTCGACTGAGACCGAGCGCGCGAGTTCATATGCGGGACGAAGGCGAGTCGCCCCCGAGGGAATCTCCGTCTCACCTCGGGACAGTCTCCGACGGTCTGGTTCGACGCGACGATGAAGTTGGTTATGACGAAGAAGGCGTTGTTCTCCGACACGGGGATCATCTGCTCCACCAAGTCCGCGATCTCTCGATACGTCGACTTGTACGTGTCCTTCACCTAAAAAAAAAAAACACGTTGAAATGCAACAAAACCGAAAGACCTGGAACGAAAATAAAAATCGGAATCGGGACGGACCAGGTGTTCGACCGAGACATAAACGCCTCCCTTCATCTTCGTGGTGACGGTGCTCTCCACGTCGCATCGCTCTTCGAAGCCCCGCTCGTATATCATTACGTACCTGAGAGGCATCCATTTCTTTCACCTCCATATTATTTCTCTCGGGAGGGAGACTTAGGGATAGATTCTCGGCAGAACTCATTGACTCTCGTGGCACGATGGGCGTTCGCCGTATTTCTTCACGGTCTGTGCCATGTTTCGGCTCGATAACCGACTGACCAGGTCGCTCGTAGGGTTCAAGACAAAAGAACTGGAGTGACCTATGCCATAAATCGTCATCTGTTTTGTTTATCTTGGGAGAATTCATTCCCAATTTTAAAAAGAAACGTCGGAAAATTTGTGAAGAGTCTGTATAATATTTGAATATAAATATTATATCTATATTTCCACCGAAAATATGGGTTCAAATTTCCCCAGTGAGAGCTCTTACCGCTGGCAGACCGCTCCTCACTACTCGTATATAAAAGTCCTTACTCCGTGTAGAGTCCCCCTAAGACTATCTTCACTGCCGCACTGGCTGGAAAATTCACTGGAAAATTCCCCGGGAATCGATGCCTAAATGTTGCCTTACGGAGTCCGTCAAGATATTCTTCATTCGATGTCGAGTGGTTCAATTTTCGAGTGGCTCACGCCCTCGTCGATATCTTTCGCTTTGTAATTTCGCTTTCGCAGTGCTGGCAAAGAATTCCATTTTCGCCGATCGGCATTTTTTTTTAATGGATTGCCTCGAAACGCTTAAAAATAGGATGATTCAGCGGGCTACCCGATGTAGTAGGCCACGATGCAGAGCTGAAGGATGCGGTGGAGGACGCCGACCCGCTTGTTCCGGACCCGGACGTTCTGGGGCGTCTCGTACTCGAACAACGTCCCGGCGACCCACTTCCCGCACTTCCTCCCCATCCTCCCCATCGCTCCTACCATCCCTATGCACGGAGAAAGCGCTCGGTTAGCGGGAGGGCCATCCCAGCCCGCGGAGGCGATGAGGGAAGCGAGTGGGCGAATCTCGATTTTCGATCTGCATCATGGCTTCTTGGTTTCCTTCGATCCCAAATTCGGATTAGACTTAGTCAGGCACCGATTCGAATCTGGAATCTCATCATAATTTGACGCTCATTTAATGATGGTCATCCGTGACGAAAGATATGAGACTCCGTACCCCGTATGAGGCTTCGTGAATTCGAAATTGGAATTTGATTCGGTATTTGAGCATTGAGATTTTCTTTGGGTCCCCATTTAGATTTATTAGCTAAGATTCACAAGTCAAAAAGAGGTTGTCTTGCAGATTTGGAGGAAAGATTATGGGTTTGTGCAAAAATACAGGATTTGCGACTCTCTCCCCTAATGCACCCTTTTCACGTTATTTAACTTGTTTAGAGTGAACCCACGTTAGCATGGATTTGAGGGGACCAGACAATTGTGTCTGAATAAAAGGCAGGTATGAATGGAAAAATAAAACCGACAGAAGGGCTACTCACTCTCTAGGGGAAAATAAAACTGTCTCCTGCATCCAAGACATAGACGCCACAGCACAGGATGCTCATTTGAGCACACTAAAGACCATAATATGAACCCTGGTACAGATATCCCTCGTATGCCATTTCATCGGCCAAAACCGACACTAACCGCCATGGACGACACTTTACGGCCAGGAGATATTATCCAAATATCATCAGTAAAGCTTCGTTAGTTCTGATGATTCGGTAACCTAGAGGTCTCTGGAGGCATAACCAAAACCTACGACAACTGCACACGGAATGAATCAAAAACGAGATCTGGAATTGCAACGACAGATGTTACAAAATGCGGAGAGTAGAGGCATTTCCCTCGTTCGATGGGAGACCCTGTCCACTTTGCCACGTGCAACTGCTTCCTCCGTTGCCCACAAACGGATCTGTCGGCTGCAAAAGGTGGGGGGAACCTGGAAATGTTAAACGGTGAGTGACACTCCCGAGTGACATCCAATCGGTGAGTGACACTCTCACCCGGGCTGAAGGCTGCCCGCACGAATTCGGTCGGGGAACGACAGCGGGCTGCTTTGGAAATTGCGAACAGACGGTGGACACCCCTGTTCTAAAGCGTATAACCGCGGAATCGTGCGCATTACCACTTCTAACCCACTCCACTGGACACGAAAAACAAGTGGCGAAAGTCTGGCCAAGAATTTATTGGATGTTATATTTAAATTGAATGAATGAATCCCCTCATTGCTTACCTCAGTGGGAACCGTGAACCCCCGGATGGAACCGTGAGAGCCGAACTCGTGCGTCAATCCAAGTGATTTGTTGTAAGAAAAACTTTTTGGACATGGGGACAGGAAGCTCATATTGGAACTCATGCAGACATTTTGCACGGCCGCAATAAGGCGAGGAATGAGTCGCACCAGTTCGCCAAATCGTTACGATTGGATGCCGGGCCAGTGGTATGAAGCGAATCCCGCCGACATCGTCTTCTCGGACGTTCTCTAAAGATTTCGACATGGAATATAAGTTACAATAATATTATCAAATGGATTCCCCAGTGGCGCAATCGGTTAGCGCACGGTACTTATAAGGCAGTGTTCGTGAGTTATGCCGGGGTTGTGAGTTCGAGCCTCACCTGGGGAACTTTTTTTTCTCACATAGTCTTTCCTCGAAATCAGAGTTTCCTCGCCTTTTAATTCATTCGGTGCAATCGATAAGCATCTCCTATCCTTAAAAAAAAATTTTTTCTTGAAATAATGCAAAATAAAATGAAAGGAAAGAAGCCGAATTAAGTCGAGCTGGATTGCTCGCATCGGCGCTGGTGTTCCTGGTTCGCACTCTCTGGAGTCGCTGTCATCTCAAACAGATGATGAGTGCGCTTCATCGATCCCATAATATCCGAATGAATTCCATATCGTCGCCTTCGTGTGTAAAGGTCGTATTTCGACATTTTCAGTTCGTAAGGAAGAACTGTTGACTACTTACTGTTATGGAGCCGGATAGGGCATATCAGCGTAATAATTCTGTGGAATAGAAGCGGAATTCTTGATATTGGTGAATTTCCCTCTAGAGCCGGGTCGGGGGCCGCATGACCGGAGGCGGAGATGCCACCTTTTCACCCTTCATCTTATTTGCATGCTTCACGGATACGACACGAATACAATTTTCCAATGTATGTTTTATTGTCACTGCTCCGTTTGGTCTCATGATGAGTTTAGAGATACACTCTTAGAAAATTCCGAGCGTATGGGGAGTAAAAAGTGAGCACATCGTGAGCTTTTCGAATTTACTCTCTTATTACTCACCAAATGCTCCCTCATCGCTCGTATTGAAGTGAACACCTTGAAGT